AGTAGCTATTCTTACAGCTAACAAAACAGCCTTTAAGACATAAATAGAGGGGCTGGGGCTGTAGTTCAGTGGCAGAGCCCTTGCCTAGCATGTATGAGGTACTGGGTTTGATCCTCAGCACTACATAAAAATAAACAATGGCATTCTGTCTACAACTATTTAGAAAAGTTTTTTTTTTTTAAAGACAAAGAAGGTTGCTATATAATGATTAAAAGATTTATCAAGAAGATACAATTATAAATCCAAATGTACCTAATTTCAGAACACCCAATGTTATAAACAAGTACATACCAAAAGGAAGGAAATAGGCTTCAATAAGTCCAATAATAGTAGGGGATTTCAATATCCCATTCTTACCAATTGATAGCTCACCCAGACAAAATATCAGAGAAACATCAGAGTACCTGGAGATTCAAAAGGAAACATTATATTCTATATCACATAAATCAATTAGGGATTATTTTGAAAAACTACATGCTAACAAGTTAGAAAATCTAGAAGAAATTGGACAAATGTGTGGATACTAAGAACCTATGAAAATCGAATCATGAATATAATATACACAGAATGATATAAAACAACTGATCTAAACCAATAAGTAATGAGGGCTGGGGCTGTATCCATGTGGCAGAGCACTTGCACTGGGTTCGGTTCGATCCTTAGCATCACAAAAAAATAGACATTCTATCCATCCACAACTATAAAAAAAATAAGCAATGAGCTGAATCAGTAATCATTTCAAAAAAAAAAGGACCACATGGGCTTATTGCTAAATTTTATCAAACTTTTAGAGAATTAACACCAATGCTTATCAAACAGTTCCACAGAATTAGAAGGGACGTGATCCTTCAAAACTCATTCTACAAGGTCAAAACCTGGCAAGGAAACGTACACATAACTCAACCATAGACCAATATTTACATAGATGCTAACGTTCTTAACAAAATACTAGCAAATTGAATCCAACAGCATAACAAAAATATCATACCCATGATCAAACTGGTTTCATTCCAGGGATATAAGGATGGTTAAAATAATATATAGAATGAAGAATAAAAATCAAAACCTCAAAGATGCAGGAAAAGAATTTGCTAAAACTCAACATCTCTTCATGATAAAAGCCTTAAATAAGGAACATCAAGATCATATCTCAAAGGCTATATATGACAAACACATAGCTAATAACATACTAATGGGGAAAAAACAAAGCATTTCCTATAAGGTCAGAAACAAGGATGTCAGCTCTCATTCCATATACTAGAAATAAACTAGTACTATAAATTTTAAAGCAATTAGGCAAGAGAAATAAAAGGTATATAAGAAAAGATGTCAAATTATCCCTGTTTGCAAATATGATTCTATACATAGAAAAAACTTTAAAAATGCACCAAAAGACAGACTGTGAGAATGGATAAATGAATCCAATATATTAATAGTATTTAAAAAAATATAAAAATCGGTAACTTTTCTGTACCAATAATGAATTTGCAGAGAAGTCATAAAAGCAATTCCATTCAGAATAGCCCTCCCCCCAACAAATACCTAGAATAATTTAAGAAAATGAAAGACCTCTATGATGAAAATTAGAAAACACTGAAGAAATGGAAGACACCACAAGATAGAAGGACCTACCATGTTCATGAATTAAAATAATTGTTAAAATGTTCATACTATCCAAAGCAACTCTAGATTCAATGCAACTGCCATCAAAATACCAACAATATTCTTCACAGAATTAGAAAAGACAATCCTAAAATTTATATGGAAACACAAAAGACCCCAAATAGCTAAAGCATTCTTGAGCAAAAAATAGCAAAATTGGAGGCATCGTAATACCCAATTTGAATACATGCTATAGGACTACAGTAATCTAAACAGCATGGTATGGACACAAAAACAGATACATAAAACAAAGGAACAGAATGAGTACTCAGAAATAAACTATGCATCTTAAGCAAGAGAAATAAAAGGTACACAAATAAGAAAGGTATACAAATAAGATTATCAACATTACACAAAACATACATTGGAGTAAGTACAGCCTCTTCAGCAAATGTTGCTGGGAAAACTGGACATCCACAAGTAAGAGATTGAAACTAGACTTAATTGAAACTTACTCTGTACAGAGCAAGGGATCTAAGGATCTAAATCAATTCAAAATCCTTAAGACTTGAAACTTAAATTACTTGGGGGGAAATACAGGGGGAAATACTTCAAGATATTGGTATAGGCAATGATTTTCCAGATAGGAATTCAAAAGCACAGAAAACATGAGCATAAAAATGGGATTATGTCAAACTAAAAAGCTTCCACACAGTAAAGAAAAGTAGAGTGATGAAACCTCTTTAGAAGAAAATATTTGGCATTTATTCACCTGACAAGGTTAATATCCAGAATATAAGAATAACTCAAAAACTTTTTAAAAATCCAGTTTAAAAATATGGGCAAATCATCTGAACAGAAGAGGAAATACAAAAAATCAGTAAATATTTTTTAAAAAAAAAAATGTTCAGCAACTAGCCAATAGAGAAATGCAAATCAAACTACAATAAGATACCAGTTCACCCTAGTTAGAATGGCTATTATCAAAAAAATTAAATAACTAATGCTGGTGAGGATGTAAAGAAAAAGAACTCATATGTGATCGGTGGGAATGTTAAATGAATACAGCCATTGTGGAAAACTGTGGTGATTCCTCAAAAAAAATTGAACTCCCATACAACCCAATTATCCCACTACCAAAGAAAATAAAGCCAGCATAAGAAACAGATACCTGCACGTCCATGTATACCGAAGCACTTTTCACAATAGCTAAGGTAAGGAATTGACGTAGGTGCCTGCCGGCAGATGAATGCATAAAGAAAATATGATACGTATAGATAATGCAGTATTATTCAGCCAAAAAGGAGGATGAAATTCTGTCACAGCAAAATGGATGGAAATTGAGGACCATCATGTTAAGTGAAATAAGCTAGACACAGAAATCTGACAAGAATTACATATTCTCTCTCATGTGGGGGAAAAAAGTCAACCTGAGAGTAGAAAAGTGATTACTAGGGACTGGGAAGGGTGGCAGAGGCTAAAGGTAGAAGGATGGATGGGTGTGATCAATGTACATTGTATGCAAGTATGGAATTTCACAGTGAATCCCATTAATCCATACAATTAGTATGTGTTAGTAATAAGTTTAAAAGAAAACAGAAAAGCTTTGTATCTTGAGGGTTGCTAGATATGTTACTGAAACCATAGTCAATGAAAGAGAAAAGTAATAAACTGTACTTAAGAGTTTATGCTACTTAAGAGACAAAAATATTCCAGAGAAAATATTTACAAACTAAATACCGGATAAAGGACTTGTTCATGAAAACTCAATAATAAGGAAACAAAAGATTCCAATAGACACTTCACCAAAGAAGAAAAATGGATGAGAACTTAAGCAATGAAAAGTTGTTCAAGATGATTAGGATTAGGGAAATGAAAATTAGAACTACAATATGATACCACTACCCACCTATTAGCATAGCTAAAATTAAAAAGGCTGATCAAGTGCTAGCAAGAACATAGAGGTGCCAGAACTCCTAGAAACTTCTGCTGGGAAGGAAAATGATCAAAACTACTCTCACAAAGTGTTGCGGTTTTTTTTTAATTTAAATATGCATTTACCAAATGATTCACCTATTCCATCCCAGATATTTACCCAAGAGTAAATAAAGTATATGCCCATATAAGGACTTTTACAAGAATGTTCCTAGAAGCTTTGTTTGCAATAGCCAAACTCTAGAAATAACACAATGTCCATTAACATGTAAATAGCTAAATGAATTGAGATACATTCTTTCAAAGGAATACTTCTCAACATTAGAAAGGATGAATTTCAAAATAATTATGCTGACTAAGGCTAAATGAACAATCATTAAATGATTCCATTTATACAAAATTCTAGAAAATGCAAACTAATCTGAAGTCACAGACCAACCAACAGTGGGAGCCTGGGCAGGGGGTTAGAGAATGGCATGAGGAAGATTGTTTTTGCAAGAATTGGTTATTATTTTAATTTTGTAATGTTTTCATAATATACATGCCAACTTATCAAATTTTATATTTTAAATATGCAGTTTACATTATGCCAAATTTCATTTCTATTTCAATTAAACTATTTTTAAAAATTAGACACTGACACTTAAAATGGTTACATAAAAACATGTACCCATGTATATATGATTAAGAAAATACATTTGGCAGGTGCTCTGGCACATGCCTGTAATCCCAGAAGCTTAGGAGGCTGAGGCAGGAGGATGGCAGTTTCCAAACCAGCCTCAGAAGCTTAGGCCATGTGACTTTTGAGGAAGGGTATTCTGAGACCTTATTTCATATCTGCTCAAAGTTCATCAATTTGGATAGCCTTTCCTGATCTTATCTAAAGTAGCCCTCACAATGTTCTAATACTGTCCCCTTATCTGGCTTAATTTTCTTCAAAATACATATCTAAACCTGATATTGTCTGTTTAGTTTTCCTTATTACGATATCAACATCTCTATGACAATAGGAACAATCATCAGTAGTACCTAGACTCTAACACAGTAAGTACAGTGGCTTACGCTAGATAAATAGGAAATACTTGTTTAAAATTAATTCTAAAAAATGGAGAAATTAACATAAATCCACATGTAAAAAAGGACCTGGAAACTGGTAAATGGCTGTCAAAGGGTAATAAAGAAAGCATCACTCCTTGAGATGGGAAGCAACCAGCAACCAGCTCTAAAATTTATAGGAGTTGGGGATGTAGCTCAGTGAAAGGGCTTGCATCCCGAGCACTGTTGGGGGGGGGAAAAAAAGGAACATGACAGAAGAGAGAGGAGCCTAATTTCCTAATTTTTCACAGGCTTCACGGGATCTGGGCCTTTGGAGTGAGACTTCAAATATCTCATCGAAGTGCCTCCTCCCTGAGCCAGTGAGCCATAGCTTATGCTAGCTCCCTGCCTGGTCTGCCATCACTCACCTGAGGACCGCCTTCTTGTTTCTTCCCTCGTTTCCAGCCAAGGATCTTTCTCTTGCTCCAATAAAACAATCACATCTGGCTTAGGAATGATACATCCTGCTCATGAGAAAAAACAGGATACATGTTATAGGGAAAACAACCCACCAAATCCCAACCACAGCCTCAAAATGACTACATGCGGACTTGGTTACATTCACAATCAACTGTAGGTCAAATGGTATTTGAAAAAGCCTTCAAGACAAAATAGAAAAAGGCCATGGAACAGTCACATTAAGATGGACCCATGAGTATGGGACTAAAAAGACCAGGTAAGAGAGGAAAAAGGACCAGTTTGCTTTCAAAGGGAATCTACAGAGGCACCGTGAGCACACACTGTGCAGCCCCATGGCTGGCTTCAAATCTGCCAATCATTCCAGCTGTGTGACCTTGAAAAGCTACCATCCAGTGTTGCACTTTTATCAAATGCACTACTTCATAGGGCTGAAGTGAGAACACAAACACAAAGGGGCTTAAAAGGATGCCTAGAAATTATGGTAGTATTTTGTTGTTACTATTTTGCATAGAGAAATATACTGTTTCCTAAAATACTTTCATGTTCCCCCTTAGACATTTCTTCAATGGAAAAAGCAAACTTCATAGACTAACTTTCAACTATAAAGCAGGTAAAAAAGAATATGTCTCTTCCAGATAGGGTGTGTTTGCTTGATTTTAAATGAATTTTGCAACCCAATCCTCCACCATTTAATCTAGAGAAGTTCTTTTGATAACCTAAAAAAAAGCAAAACCCTAATTCTAACTGTTCTCTTGCAGGTGGGCCAGACCTTAATACAGAGCCACTGTAGAAATATTAGATGAAACCTAGTTTCTGAAAATGTCACACAACTCAAATCTACGAATCACCTAGAAAAACAGGCAACAACAGGAGGGGCCAGAGGGAGGAAAGAGTGTCAATAAAGAATGGAAACACAGGTGTCATTTCCATCCCACAATGTTCAAACCATTTCTTTAGAAACAGGGGCAGAAATTCAACTGGCTTCTTAAAACAAAGCTCTAAAGTTCAACAGTGGAGAGAGCTGATATTCCAGAAAACAGACCGTAAATGACGTGGGTGGGTATCTTACCCAGAGAGATGAGGTTGCTGTAGTTTTCCAACATCACCTCCCTGTACAAGTCCCTCTGAGCAGTGTCCAGGCACTCCCACTCCTCTTGAGAAAGATCTATGGCCACATCCCTGAATGCCAAGGACTCCTGAAATAACAAATCCATGTATTATAAAAGTTTTTTAAAATGCATTTTCAAGATAAAAAACTGGCAGGAAAGAAGCAACATTGTAAGCAAGCAAACTGGGGCTTGAGCTTGCAAAAATAAGGAAATTAGTCTTTTTAAAATATTTTTGTTTAGTTGTGGGTGGACACAATACCTTTATTGATTTATTTTAATTTGGTGCTGAGGATCGAATACAGTGCCTCATATGTGCTAGGCAAGTGCTCTACCACTGTGCTACAACCCCAGCCCAGGAAATTAGTATTTTTGAAGTTGAGTGCTTACATGCTTTTAAAGAATACTAGTGATAAAGACAAAATGTCCTGCATGCCATCAGATAACAAAATTATCCAAAGGTATGGGAATAACAAAAAAAAAAAATCCAAGTTTCCCAATTCAATGAAACAGCATACGCAAGCACACACTGCCTGCTTGTACCTGCATTTTAAATTCTGAATAAATATTAGTTTCTTCATTCTTTCTCCCTTCAGGTTATTAGGAAAAAGACATTTTTTTCTCCAAAAGTGCTCTCAAATCTCTTAAAAAACAGAACTTGAGTGACATTGTATGATTTCATCAACTTCAAGTTCATCTTTACACAAGAGAATGTCATAAAGTCATTAGGAAATATATTTATTGGCTAGTTAATTGTATTATCTATTGCTATGGGTTGAGTATGGTTTACACATGTCCCTAAGGATGTGTTGAAATTTAATCCCTATGAGGTATTAAGAGGTGGATCTGGGCATAGTGCTGCATGCCTGTAGTCCCAGCCTCCTGAGAGGGAGTCTGAAGCAGAAGGTCCACTTGAGCCCAGGAATTAGGGGCCAGCCTGGGTAACATAATGAGATCCATACCTTAAAGAGAATGGAACTCAATCTGACTATGGTGTTCAGAGGCGGGACCTTTGGAAAGTGATTAGAATTAGATAAGCTTATCAGGGTAGAGACCCCATGATCATACTAGTGGCTACATAAGAAGAAAGAAATCAGAGAACATGGACATGCATGGATATGCCCTGCGTCTTGCTGTGTGACTCCCTAAAATGCTTTGGGACTCTGCCAGTAAGAAGGTCATCACCAGATGTGGCCCCCTGACCATGGGCTTCCAGAACTGTAAGCCAAAATAAATCACTTCTTTACAAAGTACACAGCCTAGGCTATTCATTAGAGTAATATAAAACAAACACGTCCATCTTGTGGCCAAGTCAGTTAATCTTTCTTTTATACTTAAGGGTTTACGTTGGATAAAATGTTGACATCAGCCTATTTCCATCCATCATTGGGAATCTGGAAGACATTCCTGCCTACAACCTCCCCATCCTTCAGTAACACCTGCCTCGTTCCTGAGCTACAGGACGCTGATGTCATGAGACCAGTACAACATTCTCAACCACAAAGCTAAACTGACTTTTGTCCTATTGTTCATCCCTTAGATAATCCCCTGACTAGATCCCTAAAGCCCCCAAACACGGCCCCCATTGCACTCCCACTGAGACCTCTAGGCCTCTCGGTGCATAAGATCTATATCTTCATCTGGGATGGCAACATGCTCAACAATATATTCCATCGACCTGGAAAACAGGCCTTTGAAGTTGGATGGAACCCTCTCTGTTTCACAGAATCATGAATCTGATGACAGAAGCTCAAATATTTCCCTTGAGGGACTTCATCTTTCGCTGCTCTGTCAATGCTCCTGCAAGAAGACGAGGCACACAGATGAGGGATGAGTAGGTGAGCACAGGTAAGAGAAACAAGGGTAGATGAAGAGGACACCAGGCAGTTTGGCACCATCCCTCACTGTGGTCACAGTAACTGAGGAGCAGGCTTCACAGGGCTGTCTTAGGAAGGAAGTCTCAGGACAATAAAAACAACTGCACGGCGGGAGGGGAGTGTGGGTCAGTGGTGGAGAGTCTGACTAGCAAGTGAGAGTTCTCCTGGCTTTGATCCCAGAACTACAAAATAAAACTTAGAAATGACCACATAAATTTTAAAATACAGTATTTCAAGGAAGAGAAACAGGAACTTACATGGGCCATGATTTTAGAACTGTAAGAACTTGTCAGTCCTCTGTGGGTTCCCTCCACTGCAGAAGCACAGTCCAGAGAAGCCAGGCCTGTGGAGGAACACGTGACTTTGAGACTAGGTAGGTAAATGTCAGAACTCCACAAATAATTTAATGCCAATATGAAGCAGTTTTTCCTTCATTTCTATTTTCAACCCCACCATGCTGTACGTACTAATGTGGAGAGATGAGCAGAATCATGGATGAAGCCATGCCCTCCCTAGGCCAAAGGAACTACCTGCACAGACATCCTGCAGGACCTCCTGCAGGAAGCCAAACCACTCATTCCAGCAGAAGGGCCTCCTGGCCCATCCCAATTTCTGATGATGCTGATCTGTTACTGAAATTGAATGACGTCCCTAAGTCTTTGTCCATGTTCACCTAAGAGCTAAGATGTGGCCATCCCATGCAAACCTCAATATCATTCATGGCTTGAATGTGTGCCTAGATTCTGAGACATGGAGGCAGAAAACAGTAGGCAGTATTTCCCCCTGTAAAACTGACTGGAGTTCTTGCTCAGCCAGAACTACAGCCCCCAGAATACCCCAAAATCTGTGCTGTTTTCAACCAAACTCTGTTTCCTATCAGGATTGTCTATTTTGCTTTCCCACATGAAGTCACGACTACATACACACATACACACATACATACACACACACACACACACACACACACACACACACACACACCCCTCAATATCAAGCCTCGGGAGGTGAGACTTCATGACCACATTGGCGGAGAACAAAATGAGACATCTTTAGGATCTTCAGCGTGATGGTCCCTTAGCATTTCATCATGCAGTTATCTCCAACAGAGGAGGTGAGGAAGCACAAAGCAAAGTACTTTGCCAAAACTCACAGTAAGAGGAAGAGGTGTATTTTTAGTAAAGTCAATTTTCTTCCAACTATGGCTTTTGCTGGATTTTGCAGGATTTCTTTCTTTGAGTGAAATCTGAGCATTGGTAATACACGAAATATATCACCCCTGAATTTCTTAAATTTCAACAGGATTAAGTATATACTCCTTAATGTTAAAAAGAAACAATCAGTTTACATTGCTATAATGGAAGATTTTAAAAGACATTGCTATATGAGCAAGGGAGAGAAAATGGTTACTTTGTAGACATTATAGGTTTGTACAACCTTAAAATAGGGCACATAGAAGTATATGAAAGATCATGATCTGTAATGTTTTGAACAATCAATAAAAAAAATAAAGAACAAAAAAAAAAGAAGTATATGAAAGAGTTCAGCCATGCAAACCTACTTCGAGGATCTGTTTAAAGCAAATGACTGCAAATGTGTATTAAGATGTATGAGTTACGTCAGAATTAACAGAATATTAAGTATATGTTAACTACTACTAAACTGGAGAAAATATTTAGAAGATGTGGAAAATATCCAGGATATATTATAAAAAATTAGGCTAAAAATCAGAATGTATAAATATAAATATAAAACATGTTGGAGCAAATTAGTTTACATTTGTAAAACATACACCCACACAACACACACAGAGTGAAAGACAGATAGGCAAAAATCAAGACAGAGAAAAAGTCCAGAATGTGTACACAGCCATATAGCAATACTACTGCTTTACTTATTATGATACTCTTTTTGTTTAAGTATAATCCATAAAATTCAAAAACAATTTTAAATAAACTCACAAGCAGATACATGTATTTATTTCATTTTGATAAGAGAAAATTCCTCTTTCTGTAAATAGTTCTCTCTTGAACTTGGAGAAAAGGTTCAAAATAATCTAAAAACAGCTGTTATGTTTTTATTGAATGTCTTTTTCCCCTTTAGCTCTTAACAGTTCAACTCTGACTGTGTTTTGTTTTGCAGTGCTGGAAATTGAACCTAGGACCTCAAGAATGCTAAGAAAAGTCAGGCACAGTGTTACATTCCTGTACTCCTAGCAACTCAGGAGGCTGAGGAAGACCAGCCTTAGCAATTTAGTGAGTCTGTAACAACTTAGACCCTGTCTCAAAATAAAAAATAAAAAAGGGCTGGAGATATAGCTCAGTTGGTAGACAGCTTGCCTCACATGCACAAGGCCCTGGGTTTGATACTAGGCACCACAATCAATCAATCAATCAATCAATCAGTCAATAAAAAGGCTGGGGATGGGCTGGGGTTGTGGCTCTGTGGTAGAGCTCTTGTCTAGCATATGTGAGGCACTGCGTTTGATCCTCAGCATCAGATAAAAATAAATAAATAAAAGAATTGTGTCCATCTACAACTTATCTAATAAAATATATATATATAAAATCTTATCTAGATAGATGTGTATATATATTAATTTATATGTATATTAATATATATATACACACACACATATATACACACACACTGATGATGTGGCTCAGAAGTTAAGTGCCCCTGGGTTCAATCTCCTGTACTCCCAGCAAAAAAACAACAAAAGTTAGATTCTAGGCAAGTGCTATAACACTTAGCTTCACCCCCAATCCTGACTTTTAAACATTTGCCTAGTATACTAAGGTACTGCCATGTCATACATGTCAACACTGATCACAATGAGCCTTCCTTTTTTGCAGTCCTGACAGATGTATTCCTGACAGTTTGGTTCTGAAACTCTCCTTTCTGCCACAACATCCTCCAAATTGCTACTGAATAATCTTGTTAGTCTCACCTTAAATCTAACTTCATTAGAATAAAGACTGTAAGATATGGATTTGTGCCAACCAATACAATAACCACAGCAACATATGTCTATCTAAATCTAATTTCAGTTCCTCAATCATACTAGCCACATTTTGTGTTCTTAATAGCCACATGTAGTTAACAGGTACCATACCAGAGAATGAAAAGTTCTTTTGCACAGTGCTGGTATAAAGCATTCAACATGGGTTGGGGATTGTGGCTCAGTGGTAGAGCGCTTGCCTAGCATGTGTAAGGCACTGGGTTCGATCCTCAGCACCACATAAACGAAGATATAGTGTCCACCCAAAAAATAAAAAAAAAAGCATACAACATAAAATTGACTTACCACCAGACTTCCCCTGAGTTCAGAATAATCTGGTCAAAATCTAATGCTGGTGGTTAGAGAAATGACATTTCCTTCCTATGAACTCTTTCTTTGGGGGGCGGGGGTAGAGGCACTGGGGGTTGAACTCAGGGACACTCGACCACTGAGCCATATCTCCAATCCTATTTTGTATTTTATTTAGAGACAAGGTCTCACTGAGTTGCTCAGCACCTTGCTTTTGCTGAGTTGATTTTGAACTTTCCATCCTCCTGCATCAGCCTCCAGAGCCGCTGGGATAACAGATGTGTGTCACCGCGCCCAACTATCCTTCTTGTGAACTCTTAAGGCATATGATCAGAATTCCTTTAGTGTTTTTTTTTTTTTTACCTTGTACCTTATACTTATTCATCTATTGTGATTTTATATCCTTTGCTATATTAAAAATAGAGAGTAGTAACTTTGTGTTTTCATTTCTTGTATTCCTCTAATTACTACCACAAGATCCAACATACTGTGACCCCTTACATCTGATAATTTGACTAAATTTCATTTTTAGTCATTCTTCTTTGGAAATGGTACTTAAGCACTTTAAAATATATGCATGATATGTTCATCATATAATAACTAAATATTATAAATCTAAGTAGCTGTAGCAGGCAACAGATTAAACAAATTATAGTTACAATTACAAACTACCACCTTGTTAGTATGCTCATATTGTTCCTTATTGATTACTGGAGAATGATATTCACTATGATTTACAGATTGATACAGGAAATTGTGGAAAGTATTGTAATGTAGCCATTAACAACACAGTTTCTGTTGTCAGACTTTCAGAATGTGAATCTCAGTCTGACAGCTATTACATTTTCAAGTAGCCTACTGGTAAACTAGGGGTAAGCACCCACACTCAGGTAGCCTACTGGTAAACTAGGGATAAGCACCCACACTCAGAGAATTGTGTTGAGGAAATACCTCTATATCACACACTGGCATGTAACTATTTAACAGAAGTTAGGGATATTATTAAAATAAAGGACATTATATGTTTCTTACTCCATTGTTCTTAAGTAGAATTATTTTCTACTTTTTCCTTTTTTCCACAGTAAAATCTGGGTATCACATCTACTCTTTTTAACAAATTTGTTTAGTTGTTGATGAACTTTTACTTATTTGTATGCAGTGCTGAGAATTGAACCCAGTGCTTCACACATGCAAGGCAAACGCTCTACCACTGAGCTACAACCCCAGCCCAAGTACAATTCTTTTAAATTAACAACATTAATAAAACAGTTTCTCAGAAAGATAACCAAGACATCTCCCCTTGTCCTTTAAGCTACTGAAGGGAGGTATCATTCTTTAACATAGTACTAGCTAAAAGGATCTAATAAGGTGTTAGTGTACTTTAATATGAGGTTCAATTTTGTACTCATATCCTATGAATATATATTTTCATGAAAATTTTAGCTATTACTATCTTACTCTGTTTCCTACTATTACAAACGAGTCCTATCAAATATTATTGGCATAAAGGAGCCTCAAAACATACCTGAATATGGAGAGTACTGCTATGTCCTGTGAATGTCACTTTAAAAATCTATAATAATATATAGTCCTATCTTATCAACTAAATTGTGCCATAATTGATTTGTGAATACCTGAAAGTTCATCAAAATAGAAGGGTTCCTTGGCACTTCCCTTTTCTCCCTTCACACAGAGGAATAAAAACCTGTGGCTAGGGAGATTTACCTCCTCTCACTAGGAGTTGGAGAGTCTCTATGTCCTTTGACTGAAAAATGCAATTTCTATTCTTTAGAATCTGAAATCAGAATCAAGATATACTCCTTACAAATATGTGTTTAAATCCCAACATTAATAAGTAAGGTTCACGTGAAATTTAAAGTTAATTATTGTTCATCATTGAAACTCTAGCCAGAGCAATTAGATGAAAGAAATTGAAGGGATATGGATAGGAAAAGAAGAAATATTTTCTGACTACATGATTCTATACTTAGAGGATCCAAAAAATTCCATCAAAAAACTTCTAGGGGGGCTGGGGATGTGGCTCAAGCGGTAGCGCGCTCGCCTGCCATGCGTGCGGCCCGGGTTCGATC